AAAGTCGGAATGGACGTTGGAAGCTCGAACGCTTGAAGCTTTCAATCGGCTCCGCCTGTGGCCCGAGGCCTCCTGGCAGCTCGACATCACGAAGGATACGAGCTCGCCCCCTCGCTAGCTTCTCTGGAGTTCCAGTACCTAAAGTGGCAGGGAGATCTTCCACAAGCTGTGCAGCCAGAACGCATGCTATCGCATGCTACTTATGCCAGATTGCCTGCTGAATCCGAGCAGAAAACATCGAGCTCGAGCTCCCCAGGTGCTCTGGATTCAAAGTCTTGGAAAATCGGCTCAACGTCAAGCAAGTCCACAAAGTCGGGGGCGGGTTCCACGTGGTCCGGATCGGAGTTGCCTTTGGGGAACTGGCGCAAGTCTCGTCGAAGACCGCGAAGGCTGTGCTGGAGCCGCCATTGACTCGTGGCTGGGGTGTCGAGCACCAAATGCACGGGGGGGCCGGCAGGGAGCCCGGGCTGCTCCGGGTACAGCTGAGAGCACCGGCTGTGGTCGCAGCCGAAGCCAGCCAAGGCCTCGCAGAACAGCTGCGCCGCGGCGCTCTCTGCGCCGAAATTCCCCCAGGGGTCGGCCACCGGACACAGAGAGCGCCGCGCCGGGAACAGCTCCAGCTCCGTCCTCTGCAAGTTCTGCGACCCGCGCAGCGCGTTACACCCGAGCCGCAGCCACAGGGGCACCTTCTTACCGTCCCGCTCACACGGATACCTGGGCCCTGCCCTGCCCTGCTGCAGCTCCTGTGGACTTTGCACAGCTTTCACTGCGGCCTCCAAGAGGGCACGCGCCCCAAGGTTGCCAATGTTGTTGTGTGAGAGTTGGAGCTCCCAAAGCGTGTAGGGTGCATGCAGCAAATACTGCGCCAGTGTATCTGCGGCCTCATCGCCTAAGCAGTTGTGGTGCAGGCTCATACCCTCTACGGGAACTTCGGCCTCCCTCATGATCTTGAGCACGGCATTCAGGCCGTAAGCGGTGATTTTATTGAAAGACAAATCAAGGATCGTCAAGTGCATGTGAGGCTGCTGCAGCCGCGGTCGGGCCCATCCGCACCAGTGCATCAGTGCAGAGTCGTCCATCTGGCGCTTGCTCAGCAACACCTTCCAGGAGGACTTGCCACCTTCGGCAGGCACCAGCGTACCCCGCCAGGAGCTCTGAGCAGAACTGGGATAGGAGATGGGAACCGACCACTCGCTCTGCCGGTCCTTTCCCTTGCCTTTGCCTCTGCCTTTGCCCCTTCCGGAGATGTCGTAGATCCTAAGACCCCTTCTGGACTTGCAGGCCTCCCTTCGGCGCTGGATCTCCTGCTCGGCTTGTTGCCACAAGTCCTCGGATTCTGAAACCTCCTCAGTGGAAACAGTCAGAGAGGCCTGGGTTGCTTGGGCTGCTTGGGCTGTTTGGGTTGTTTGGGTGGTCCGGGTGGTCCGGGTGGCTCTGGTCAGGCCGTCGCGCGGGCTGCGCTCGCCGCGTGTGGCGCGCGGCCCACTTGGGCCACGTGCGCCGGTGTAGTTCCTCCATGGGTTCTGCACCTTCTTGGACCGCTGCTCTTGCAGGGCCGCTTCCGCATTCAGCCACAGCTCATCAGCATCCTCTGGCGTGCGCTCTGGCTCAGGAGGATTCTCCAGATCAGCGCAGCCCGCCATGGCATGGCGAATTGAGCCTGTACCCTGACACTGCTGAACAAAGCGACCCTCCCCTTGACCGTGCTGCAAAGTTGTATTGGCTGCAATGACCTCGGAACCGTGCCCTTGAACAGAACTAATTGTTCATGCTAAGAATGCTGGAACTGCGCATGAAACAGGTCGGCGAGCCAAGAAAACCAAGCCCGGCATCCGTTCCACGTCTGAAGCTCAGCAAAGAATGCTCACGTCCTGCATTGATTCCTGGCGAGGCAGCCTTTTCTTCCCGGAGCTCGGCTTCCCTCTTCTGCTCCTCGGTGAATCACTGAAGCCGGTGAGCCAATAAGCCGAAAACCCTGCCTTTATCCTCCTCTCCTCCCTCTGTCTTTCATCCCTTGGCTCATACCACTGCCGAGTAAAGGAATCTACATCCAGCTGAGTTGCTGACTCTCGTTTTGCTTGCTCTTCTCGTCGTCGCTCTTCTCTTCTTCTCTCCGCTCTCTGCTCTTCCTCTCTTCTTTGGTCCTCCCTTCTTTGCTCTTCTTCCTGCTTCCTGCTGTGTGCTCGGGCAGTTGTTATCACATCCAAATCTTCACTCAATTGCACCTGCACTCCTTTCCAAAAAACCATTGTCTAACGGCCGAATGCGTTGGCCTGCGTAGTGCCTCGCCTGTGCCGCACTGACACACTCCCTCCACAACCCAACTCTTTGGGCTCCGGCTGGCTAAGTCTGCCTCTGGCCTGGCAAGAGAAATTGACACACAGCTCCGAATCACACATTGCTGAAGCAAGCTGAGAACGGCCCTGGCGCTGCTTGCGCCACTTGCGGCGACGTTGACGTGGCTGCCTGAGCACCAATTGAAATTGCAGCCATGCAGGCGAAGTCAAATGACCCACAATCAAAACCCGGGTAGATGAAGGTTAGTAAGGGACAATCCCAACCATAAATAGCTGCGGCCGCCTGCTTTGTTCTTTACATGGTTCTGGGTGCACCATTTTTGTACCAGGTTTTGATTGTGACTCAAATCGACTTGTTCTGCATACTTGCTACCCCATCCTCTTGACCTACCCTATCCTCTTGACCTACCCTATCCTCTTGACCTACCCCATCCTCTTGACCTTTCTCGCCTCACAAATGTTGTCTAAACATGCTCGGCGCTTTCAAGCTCGAACACCACAACTTCTCAGTGCAAACAGCACTTTGGCAGCTCCAGCTCTAAGCTCACATCTATTCAAACTACACTTTGTGGCAGCTCCAGCTCGAACATTGAGTACCAGAATAGCCCAGCTCCAGCTGAAAAGCCGTATCTATTTATTACGATAGTTTCAAGGGAACCGCAATCAGATTTAAACACCTCAGCCAAATACGGAACAACACGCAGGGGATGTTTAAAATGCAACAGGCTTCTTGCTGCCTGGAAGGCTGGTCGAAGGAGAATGCCATGCTGAGGATGTTGGCCTGCCATGGAAGCACGCGTACCTTTGGCTATCTGACCACTTCAAGCACCCAGCCATGCAGGTATTCCTACGCTCTTGCAATCCGATTGGCAGACTCAACATCCATCCGCCGTCATCTGCCAAACGCAGCCAGCCATGATAGGTTTGAGTCCTTACAGCGATTGCAAGGCTTTCCACAGCTGCAGCCCGCTGAGTGCTCAGCTCTGCCATTACAACCTTGCGAAGCCGACCGGCATCTAAACGTGCTGTCGGGCCCAGTGCTCGGGTCACTCGCAGTGCTCACTCGCAGTGCCACTCGGGTGACTCGGGCATACTCGGGCCCTGGTCCGAAACTTTCGCGGCCGCGCCTCCCCAAAGCGCCGCGCGCTGATGATGTTGGCAGTGGTCGAGGGGGCGGAGCGAACTGCCACGCTCGGCTGAAATGCCACCTGCACCCGGCTGAGGCATGTAAACAAAATCACTCATGCAAATCTGTAGAATCCTGGGAACTTATGCTTTCAAGGTTTGCAGGGAGCTTGGATTTGTTGAGCTCGGATTTGTGGGTTTTGCGGGTGTTGTGCGGCTTTGACGTGTTGAGCTAAGTTTGCGGCCTTTGCAGCCAAAGAAGGTCAAACTCACAAAAGTCCAGCGAATGAAAGACTTTGGAGGGGTCCAGGTCATTATTGGTGGTTCCTGAAAAGCCAATTCTGGAGTCATAAGGACCAACTGTCAAATCCTCACATGGAATGCTTCTCAGGCAAGCCGGGCCAATCGCACCTTGTGTTCGTCAAATGCATGCTCACGGCAAGAACAGGACGATTGCAATGGATTGGATCGCATAGGCAACAAGTCGGCCTCGAAAGGTTGCGGGCCGGGCGTTGAGAGGAAGTCCGCCGCCAGCAGAGGTACAGCTCCCACCCGCCGCACAAGCTGCCCAGTCTCAGCCTCCTTTGAGACTTGATACGGCTTCAAGCTGCACAAGTATGTTTGCAAGTATGCTTACAATATGACAAATTTAGATTTAACTAAGTTACATATGGCTCCATCTGGAATTTGCTTGTGACGGGAGTCCTTGGGGCACCAACCCCCTAAGCGGAGCTTCAGGAAGCCGTTGAAGGTCTCCTCAACACCCTCGAGAACTTCGCCCGGGTCCTGGCGCAAGGCAACGAGATGATTCTGAGATCTGAAGGCAAAGCGCTTTTTTTTGATGCGACAACAACGAGCGGCCTTCCGCGCGACTGCGCGGGCTCCAGGGGAGGGCGCCTCTCGCACCACAGCTAACTTGATGACCTCCGGGCTCTTGGTATCTCTTGGTGCTTTCACTCGTATCTCTTGGTATCTCTTGGTATCGTGACGGGATTCCGGGGCACCTCCCAGTGTTGGACCGGAAGGTCCGGGTTGGATTCGATCTTTGGCTTCGGCGGCTCCTCGCGACCGGCCGGATTGCCTGACTCGATAGATCTCGATAGTGACTCGACTCCGCCAATGCGCTCGAATTCGAATTCGAATTCGCCTGAAGGTCCACCTGCGCCTTCAGCGCTGCAACGGTCTCAGTGGCAAAGATCTTCTGCCCGGCCGACCGCAGCCTCGGACCCCCCTCCCGCCACGCACTCACACACACAGAAACACACTCAAGCACGCACGCAAGCACGCAAGCAAACAAACACACACTTTTGCACGTAAACACTCTATATACATATCAAATACTGGAGCCAAAAGAAAAAAAGGTAACGAGTAAAACTCTGGAGCCGATGGCCCAAAAGGACAAAAGTAGACGAGTAACGATGTGGAGCCAATGACCCAAAAGCAATAACGTCAAATTCCGGAGCCCATGGCTCTAGAGAAAGATGTAACAAGCACAACAGTACATGGGTTAAAACATCCTATTTGTTCACTTTTTCATTTACTTATCGTACTTTTTTACTTTGGGCTCATTGGCTCCAGTTTTTCCTTCTTTGCGTGTACTCTTGGCTTTCTCTTGCAGTGATTCTTTGGTTTCCTCGATGACTCTTGCATTTTTCCAGGCAGCTGAAACCATCGGGGTGCGAACTTCCAGCAAAGAAGGGGTGTGTAGGTTGTGCAGTTTGTGCCAACGGTCGGGAGCCATTGCAGCGAGCGCTGCAAAATTCAAACGTACTCCAGCAAAGAAGAGAACTTGCTATGCGGCCCTTTGGGTCTGGTCCCTGCAGGTGAATAAAGCTCTTTGTAAAGCTCCTGTCAAGGCCTTCTGAAACATGGGACTTTGATGAAAATATAGTTAGATTTTGAACCGGAAAAAACAAAAACATAAGGTAACTTGCTGTGTTGAATAAGGGGTCAAAAAAAAAGGTACTCCTTTTCAACTATGCAAGCAAAAATTAATGGGTCAGGATGCTAATCTGAAATGCTATTTTCAACTTTAGTTTAAATTGGATTTTCTTTCCAAATGGTTCGCAAGTTAAACTTGAGATGAACCATCAGCAGGATTCAATGAGCAGGAGGCATCTATTTTGGACTTGTAGAAGTGACTTAACACTGACAGAGGTGACACGGATTTGTTCGGCTATTGAGTTGTGCCCGCGCATGGTACAAACACACGGAACAGGTACATTGTAGGGGGGGCGGCATCCGCTGGTCAAGTCGTATGGGGCAATTCAAACAAAACAACTGCATTCCATCTGTAAAATAGGCTTCAAAGACCAACAAGGTAGATCGATCGGGGGCGGAGGCTGTATATAGTATCATATACAATTACTATATATATATACACATATTTAGAGACAGGTTCTCCTGTCGGGCAGCCGATATCAACAGCCACACCAGCTCATGTGATTGATCATATGGAGCTTGATGAGGCTCGGGCCTCTCGTTGAGAGCTGAAGGGCCCTTGGCTTTTTGGAGGCTCGGCACTTCGTCACATGAGTCAGGCTGTGGCCGTGCTGTAGAGAGCCTCCCGCAGATCAGTGAAGTTGGTGACCTGTGCGCAGTACCGCCTCCCGCCGCGAGCCAAGTGCCCTTCGCTGGCCTGCGCCTTTGCCAACTTCTCCATCACGGCGCTGAGGTCTTTGTCTGCCCACGTCGGCTTCGCGGCCTTGCGTGTTTCCACGCTCTCAGCCTACTGCACCAGAGCCGCACCTGCAACAGATCGCGGAGCTTGGGCGGCGGCCGAGGCCGTTCTCCTAAAAAGAAGTAACAAAGGCTTCAGTGCGATGCTCCTTGTCCTGTTGGACACATTTCTCTGCGGCATGCCACCGTTGGCAACTACAATTTGAGCCTTCTGACAGCGAGAAGCAAAGAAGTCACACGAGGCTAAGATACTATCAAATGCTGTTCCGCATCACTACGCAGCTTTCGGTGCTTGCTTGACTTGCAGGTGCTTATCATGGCCGATGCCAGCACACTAGGTTTACTTGTACAGCAAAACATAGGCTAGCGAGCGTAAGTCACTTCAAAAGAAGATTGCATAACCGTTTTTCACTGTGTGCTCGAGGCAAAGTCAAGGTATAGGAAAGCAAAGGCAATAAGCTTTCGGTGCACAGGTCTCGCATAATCTGTTGTTTCGTTTCACAACCACAGAGCCTCTTGGGTTTTGGGGCCCTTTACGTTCATCAACACAGAATACCATGTTAGGCTCGAACTACAGTCGCTTGCCGAAGGATATTGTTGAGCAACACCGAGTGAAAACATTTCGAATCAAGACTCCGAGCCCGCGACGCTCCGAGGATGGCGGTCGAGGTGGCGCCGGTGCCATCGCGGGTGCCGGTGGTGTCACCGGTGGTGGCTTTGGCGCTGTCCCCTGAGCTGTCGGCCGCTTTGGGCATCCCATGGCATCCCGAACTGTGGGCCTGGCCTTGTCAAGCGCCACACCTGACTACATTCGGAGCCCAAAGGCGGTTGAGGTCCGAGCTCCTGGCTCTCCAGATTCTTCGCCTGTCAGGAAACCAGGAGAGGCAAGCCACCAGCCAGCGCCCGCCTTCATAAGTTTGTCTTGCGGATCCTCGCCATCCAAACGCACATGGTACCTCGCGGGCAGGCCGCACAGGCCACAAGCGCAAAGAGAGCTGTAGCGAACTGAAAAGACATGAGAGGAAAAAGAAGGAAAGACAAAGAAGAAAACAACAGGAAAGGAAAGAAGGAAGTCAGCAGCGAGCCGCCCTTTTTTGCACGGCTTGCTGGGAAGCATTGCACGCCCAGCAAGGGCCAGCGTGGGACATCAGGATACCCACCACCACCAGGATGCCCGCCGCAGCCGCCAGTCTGGATGCTCATCGAAATCCTCAGAATCCTCCCAGTGCTGCCATTCCCAATTCCAGTTGTCAGAATAGCCATTCTCGGCCCACTCCTCCTGGTCCTCCTCGTAGAACTCCTCCTCTTCCTGTCATTTGCATTTCTCCAACCTCCACTCTGGCATCCAATATTGCCAAGTTTCCAGGGCTGCCGGTCGAGGTGAGAGCTGGAATGGCAGGGGCAGCGAAGGTGCGCTTTGGTTCAGATCAAAGAATGTCCTCGGATACGGCTGTTGACGAGCTGAGCAAACCATATGGGTATGTGTTTTTTTGTCTTGGCCGTGCCGGGAGGTTGGTATAAGGGGTATGAATCGCAGGTATGGTTCGGGGTATGGCTCGCGCGCCTCTGAACTCTTGCATTGTGGCTTTGGACACTGCAAAGCTCCCGTGCGCTGGCAACTGGATAGCCGTGAGAATTTGGGTTGCTACAAGCCAGCCTGGGGCGCTTGTGAGTGGCCTGAACTAGACAGCTGCCACTCTGCGTGAGTGGGTTAGCGAAAGCTGCCGCGTGCTCACAGACCCAAGCAAGCGTTGCTTGAGGGGAAACGCCGCTGCCCAGTCAGGCCCGCCACCCGCACCAGCCACGAACCAGCGGAAGGGCAAGACAGCGTGACATCCTCAAACGGCAGCCGCGCAGAGGCTAGTGGGCCTCTCACAGGTGGTGTACCGTGTCGCGCTTGATACATCGCAGTAAGCCTTCCGAACCCACCTTCTGCCGAACTTCTGCGAAAAGAGCCGCGGGCTGGTTCCTGCAGCGCTTCTCTTTGAGTTTTGTGTCTTCTGAGGATTTGGGCGGCATAGCTTCGCTAGTACTGCCCAGAGCGCAAGAGGCTCTTAGCTGCAAATGGCAGCAGAAGGGTATGAATCGGGGTATGAATCGGGTATGAATCGGGGGACAGATTCCTTTCGACCGGAAAGACAAGAGTACCCCAGGAGCACAAAGACAGCTTGTGTTTCACTGCGACAGTGGCCCAGGACAGACAGCTGTTTCCACCGCGCCGGACGGACTGCTTTCAAGCTCAGCAGCGGCACCCCCCGCCACAGCGCCCTGCAAGTCCCAGCGTCTTACGTCAAGCTGCACCCCCCCGCCACAGCATCACGAATGCTACAGACAACTCCAGTACCAGGACATCCGCAGGATTGCTCTATAACTCCATCCATGGGCGAAGCCACCGAGGTGGGTAACCAAGTGTCAAGGAACACCACTTGAGCCAAAATGAGCCCCCCATGAGTAACCAGTGAGTGTGTGAGTGGACATGTCAACTGTACTTGGCCCCATGACATCAGAGCCCAACCATGCAAGCATCGCAGACTCAAGAATAGATCCAGGAACCACAAGTGAACCAGGTATTACCTCGGAGTCCCTACCCCCTGGCATCGGTCCACATGTCAAGCTCTCTAACACTGTTTCTTGACAAGACCCCCTTCTTCACTTGAAGTTAAACCCCCTATAGCTTCCAGCTATCCATGGATCACATGCAAATGCCACAGTTCTTGCAAGTTCTTTTTTGCTTTTTTTAAGGGGTATGACTCGGGGTATGGCTCGGGGGTTATGGTTCGGGGTATGATTCGGGGGTATGGCTCGCCCAATCCCCACCTCCCACGAAGACTAAAGAACTGACACGGTGAAAAAAAACAGACCCATATGCCACAAATCATGTGCCCCTTTAGACATGGATGCCCTTTTGCCGAACTCTCCACCAGTGTCACAGCCCAGCCAAGGTACCCTCGAGGCCGCACCAGCAACACCCCCAGCTCTCTGTTGCCGCTCCAGTGCAACTCTGTGTTTGACTCATCCAACCTGAGTCGAGCACATCTCTAGCTTGCCTACTGTTATGAGCAAAATGCATACAATCGGCCTGTGGAGCGTCCCCCAAGCTGACACAGTCAGGTTGTGGGATCCCACATAGGCCCAACCATAGGATTTGCCCTCGTGCGTGAACAGGCGGGCAATAAGCTTGCCTTAGGTGACAAGACGTGACAAGTGCAAAGCACGTGCCCGGATTTGTTGGTCGCATTCTGAGCTGCTGTGATTCAGAAGCTGCTCTCGCCCTGGCGAGTGTGCGGGGGGTCGGTGCTCGACCAGCCGATTTCTCCAGTCAGCCATTTGGTAGCTGGCGGAAATGGGCCGCTGGTTCGGGACCACCACCTTGGGGCCTCGGGCGGAAGAACTGTCAGTGCAACGCAGAGAAACTGCACTGAGATGTATCATGCGCTTTCCAGCATAAACAACAGAACAAACTTGCGGGACTACCTGACGACAGACTCCACGAATTTGGACACAGACTGACTGACTGACAGACTGACTGACTGGCTGGCTGGCTGGCTGACTGGCTGGCTGAATGACCGAATTAATGAATGGAAGGGATTGATGGATGGATTGATGCATGGATGGATGGATTGATGCATGGATGGATGGATGGGTGGGTGGGTGGATGGATGGATCCATTGATGAACGAATGAAATAATGAACGAACAAACAAAAGGAACAAAGGGAAGTAAGGACACACGGACGCAAGGAAGCAAGGAAGCAAGCAAGCAAGCGAGAAAGCAAGCGACAAACACGCAACCTCATACATATACATGCATAACTTGTTGCACACTTAGTTGACCTTAACATGAGTTGAACATGCAACACAATGGCATACCATACGATGAATGAATGCGAGCAATGCAATGACATACAATGAAATGACATGACATGAAATGAATAAAATGACTTGACAGGAATGCATGAATACACAAAAAATGGGTGAACGAAGGAATGAATGAACGATCAAATAAATGCAGAACTGCATGCATGCATGCATGACGGACTCACGTACAAACGGATGTATGTACGCGCCGCTGGATATGCAAATGAATGAAAGAGTGACATGCGCCAACACAGCACGAAACAACATGACACGAACCGCGTGAACAAATGAGTGAAACGGAACAAGGCAAAGCGAAGCGAACATGAACATGGATGAAGGAATGAATGGATGACAGAATGAATGAGTCAGTGAGGCAGTGAGTGAGTGAGTGAGTGAGTGAGTCAGTGAGTCGAGTGAGTGAGTGAGTGAGTGAGTGAGTGAGTGAGTGAGTGAGTGAGTGAGTGAGTGAGTGAGTGAGTGAGTGAGTGAGTGAGTGAGTGAGTGAGTGAGTGAGTGAGTGAGTGAATGAATGAATGAATGAATGAATGAATGAATGAAAGAGTGAGGGACATGGAACGAAGTGAAACCAACCGAACTGACATGAAATAAAGTTGTGTGACATGCAATAAGATCAAATTGAGCGAAATGGCAATTGATGAACTAGAAAAATGAAATACCATGCCATTGGTACATCTAGCAGGTGGTTCTGTTGCCTGTTTTCATGGGGTCATAGCCAAAACCATGTTGGTGTAGCGGGTTTGGGGCGCTGCTCACGGAATAAAATGACACCACATATACTGAAGTGGAATGACAAAGAACGAATGCAGCTCGAATCCATCTGGGTTCAGTCAGTCCGTTGCCTTTTATTCCATTCAATTCCGGTCTGTTCCGGCCATTCTAAGTATGCATTCCATCCATTCCATTCAATCTACTCATCCCATTCACTCCATTCATTCTATCCATTCCATCGAAATCATTGATTCATTCATTGATTCATTGATTCATTCATTGATTCATTGATTCATTCATTGATTCATTGATTGATTCATTGATTCATTGATTGATTCATTGATTCATTGATTCATTCATTGATTCATTCATTCATCCATCCATTCATTCACTCATTCACTGTTTCACTCTTTCACTCACTCATTAACTCGTGCACTCATTCACTGATTCAATCACTGACTCATTAAATCGTTCCAATCACTGACTCATTCACTCATTCATTCCATAAGCACTGACACCGACACCTGCAAACACACTCGTGCACACGCACACGCACACACACACACACACAGCATCACACAGCATCAAACAGCATCACACAGCATCACACAGCATCACACAGCCCCCAACAAGATGAATAATGTGAGAGCAACATCAAGCCCTATCCTGCATCAGCAACAGCTCGTCCACAGCATTGGTCAAAGGAGCGAAACCAGCAATCGTCCATGGCACTCACTGCGCAGGTGATGGCCATGTAATGCTCCTCTTCTGCCTGAGGCCAGTCCTCGTGCGCCAAGTGCTCTTGTATGGCAAACAGGCCATAGTTGATTTCGAGCACGGATAGCAGGTCTTCAATCTCCGGCACTGCTCGTTGAAAAGCTGCACTGGCAGCAAGGGTCACTCGAATCAGGGGCATCTCCGTCTCGTCCCATGTTGGCAACACATCCACAGGGAGGACCTGCCAGCCGCCCAGAACTTCGAGGCCTAATCGCTGCGCCTGCTCCAAGGCCCGGCATGACTTCGCGTCCAGGTAGGCAATGGCCTCGGCCTCGGCGGCCTCGGCCTTGGGCTCCGTCAGCGTCCAGCGGCCGCGGCCGAGTCGCAGCTCAGCTCCCTGGAGCTGCACCACCCGTGCCAGTGGCACCTGGCGCAGCTCAAATCGAACACCTGATGAATGCCGATTCATGCATGGCTGACTGTTCCGTTTCGAACAAGGTTGCATATATTCTATCCACCCCTGCGCTGTTTCACCCCTAAAAAGCCCTAAAGGAAATTCAAGACTACAATTCCTATGTACGCAATTACACAAGCTGTCGATACCCCTTCACAGGTTCAAGGATTGCCGCAACAACTCTTACAAAAAAGCAGCAATCCCCCCTTCAAGCCGAGTATCGAGTCCCCGCAGTAATCTCAAAACGAGCCAAGAATCCAGGCCTAATCCATCCTAATCCCAAACTCTTTGGCCTGGAACTCCTCGAGCTCGAACTTTTCGAGGGATAAGCGTAGCGCCAGCTCGCCGCGCTGCAGCGCACGGCGTGGTGGGTGCAGCCCTGGCAGCGACGCCACCAGCTTCACGTTGGGCGCGTCGAGGTCGAAGCTGGCGAGGCGCCGCAGCCACGAGCCTCCAATGCCTCCACCCTCCAGGCTGTTGGCCAGGAAATGCGCCAAGGTCTGCCCGAAGCCAGGCACCAAAAGGCTCGACAGCTCGGGGATCTCCCGTCTCTGGAAGTCCTTCACCCACAGCGCCTCGTTGTTTTCACGCCAAAACCTCCGCAACAAGTTGGCGCTGGTGATGACCACTCTGAGCCGGTCTGATGAATCTAAAAGAATCACCTTGGCATGGACGCTACATTGTGTTGGATTCGGCGCATGTACGTCATCCAGACTGTGCACGCCACCATCACTCGAGCGAGACAAGTGAGCGGATCCAGGGAAATGCAAAATCACACTCTGGAAGACTTCTTGCAGGTCGTTCCAAAGCTGTTCAGGAAAGCGATCCCATGGGTGTGCGGCAATGGTGACATGGCAGCCACTCGACAAGCCCAGCTCCTCTTTCAGCCAGTGGACATCGTCTGGCAAGTCGAAGGTGGTTAGCAATGCTGCGGTGACATCCGGCAATCTCAGGTCCCTCAGGGACAGCGCCTGCAGGTTTACTGCAGTGTCTAGGCCAGACCGAGGATCCGAGATGGGGATCTCCAGCAAAGGCCGCTGCTCGGGCGTGAGCCCGCGATGGGCCTCTTGTAGCTGTTGGCGCTCTTCAGCTGTGAGCCTTGGATCCTCGCTCTCCAGGGAAACGAAGTCCACCTTGTTTAGCCAGAAGCGGTCCCCTGTGAACCACTCCATGGCGTAGCTTGCAGGCTGTCATGCCCCCAGTTGCAAGCCAAACCCTGGCGCGGCCTAAAAGCTTTCGTGTGCGCGAGCAGCCAGCCAACAGCTTCGGCGAGCTTCCGTGGATGTCTTCTATGATGCAATACCTTGACACTATGTCTTAGGCTTTGTATTCCTTTGTATTCTGGGTTGTGTTGCGTGGCGTTACAATGTCGCTGCCCTGTGCTGAGTTGCTTGTGCGCGCGCGGGTGTGCGTGTCTCTGTGTGTCTGTGTGTCAGGCTACACCAAGCACCAGCTGCAGCAAGCACCAGGCACCCACAACAGCACACCAACCACCCGGAACAGCTACACCAGCCACCTGGAACAGCACTACACCAAGCACCTGGAACAGCACAACACTACACCCACCACATGAAAAACGCCAGGGACATTAAGCGGCAACAGCACAATGCATGCCTCCAACAAGTCGTACAAGCACTGGCATTTGTCGAGGAATTGGGATACTCCTGTCGGGTTTACAATTTCCTTGTCGAGGACATTCAAAACTTGTCGAGAATATAGCTCCGTATTCGGTGTCCGCAGCCCAAGTCTTCAGTGCTCAGTTTAATGGTTGTTTGCTAGGTCCGAGTTCAGCTTGTACGCTTCGGATGTGACCAGTTTTGCCCCCAAGCCACCAAGGTTGCGCCGCGCAAGTTTGGGCAAGGGACTCGGAGCCCCGGCCTGTTGCTTGCTGGCAATAGCAACGTCGCTCATCGAGCCTTTAGTATTTTTCTCGCTCCACAATTTCTTGCGGGCCACAACACAGATCATCCATGGCAGGTCCAAGGAGTGAGAAAGAATCCGATGTCACGCATTGGCGTCACCCGGAGTTGGGCGAGCTTGCCGTCCATGACAGGGGTTGTTGCCACCTCCGACATGGCTCCTCAATTCAGACTTGTCGGCTCTCATTTCACAAGTACTCTTCCGAGCCAAACGCGATGACATGTGTTCTTGCAAGGAAAACGGTTGGTCACCATCAGGTTTGCACTGGAGGGGAATGCACCACCTTAATCGAATAAAGGTAGTGAACAAAAAGGCAGTTTTCCAGTCTTGTTCTGACTGTTTAAGGGTGCTGAAAACAACGCAACAATAGTGGCCAAAATGCGTCCTTTTGACATGCCTTCTGCCTGTCATGCGAAACCTTCCGTGACCTTCGCGTCAGGGCTCCCTTATTGAGGCCTTTATTAGTTCAGCACTTGTTCGCTTGACGGCTGTTTGTGCTGCGCTGAAGTTTCAAGCCCTTCCGGCGTCGCCCTGTCGACCCTATTGCTCCGCACCTCGTGCCCTGCTTCTCCACAATGACTCCCGTGCGCTTGTTCAGCTCCGGGCGCGTCTCCAAGCCAACAAGCCTCCAACTCGACACTACTGGCCCCTTGCACAACACTTCTTTCAGCAATCCCTTAGAAGCCTTCTGTTGTCCGCTCCCGCCTCACCCGACTGCCAACGTCGAACGGCCTGTCAGGCTCATTGCCTTGACACTTCACCAGCGCTTGCAACAATCAGCTGAAGAAGCGCGCCTGGCCAAAGTTGGGCTGGACACAACTGGCGTGCTCCTGTCAAGTGCATGGCTACTTCCTTTGAACTCTTTGCACATCCAGCCACGTTTCAATGCCTTGACGTGTTTGCACCCAAGTGGAGGGGTCATTCTTTGTTACCAGCAGTGAAACCTTTCAAGCGCGTTTGCTGAGCGCAGCATACCAATTGTGATGTGGCAGAGTGCAGGCTGACTAACTTTGGCGGCCTGGCAAACTAAGATCCTTCCTCCGTTCTTACCATCTGACCATGAAGGTACTTCACCGTGCTTCTCAATTCAACCTGTGCATTGAATTTGCTCTGCCGCCCTTTGGAAGGTCTGCCGCCCCAATTTGTCTGACTTGCTTGAGGGCATGTATCACGCGATGGGGCGCGAATCTTGTTGCAAAGGTATGTACGGGGTTCCTTGTTACGTAGGCGTGTAACGTGAAAACAGTGCCTGACACTTCCGCAGCTCCAGCTCGAGAGTCGCAACTATTCGCGCAAGCTAGGTGACGGCTGGCCCGGGCTGGGGTTGGGTATGTAATGACGAGGCATGTCACGCCCCTCCCTGCCAGCTGTTCTAACTTTGCGCCTGAATGGCAAGCTCACTTTGCAAGTTGACTTCCAGCGAATTCATGCTCTGCAGGCAGCATGAGACTCAGAGTCTGGTTATGCGTCCGGGTATGCAACAAGGGGCATGCAACCAGCCAGGCGGCGGTGTGGCTAATGTGAGGTATGCAACAAATGAGTAACTCAGACTGAACTTCGCACTAATACGACGTTCTGTGACCAACAGCCACGCAGTGGCGATTGTTGGCTGGAGCGTGCCTGATCGGTGGGCTGGTCGCAGGCGCGCCCCTGCCCACATCGCACGGCACGCGGACTTTCAGCCACCAATGGTATCCAATGGTCGAATGTTCGGATGCGGAAGCCCAAAGGACAGCCCCGGCTCGGCCTAACGTCCAGCTCCACATTCTGCGGCTTCAGAGCCTTCTGAGCGCGCACACCGCTTGACAAGCTCAACAAGCTCGACAAGCTCGACAAGCTCGACAAGCTCGACAAGCTCGAGCTCCCACCTTGATGGCCCCAGCTTCCGGCCCCGAGCTGAGCTCCACAAGCAGACGGCTCTCATCCTATCGCCAAAATGAATCCGGACAAACGAAGAGAGCCTGCGGTCCTTGCCCACCAGTGTGCCTTTGCAGCCATTCCTGCCAGGCTCTTCCGCTCTGTGACTCTCTCTCATCTGGATGTCCTATAGGCATAATGCACCAGTTGTCTGAGCTGCTGGCAAATGCTTCTGGCCGCTGAGACCGGTGATGCAAACTGGGGAGCCATCTGCCAGCGACCGCGTCTCTGCCCGCGCAGGCGTGGGCGAGAACGCGTTCAGCGGAGGCATCTCATCCTCCGCGCCTAGGAAGACATCGAAGCCTATGATGCCATATGCCATGTGGCGCTCGACCACGCCTGCACCTCGCGTCCATTTGAATCCTAGGTCAGCGGTTGACCTTGGCTGCATGCCAAATGGTCAATTCTTAGAACTCTTCGGCTGCCTTGGCTTCTGGTAGTGCAAACGGGTGTTGGAAAAGCTGCTGACACCTGGCACGTCATGGCAAAGCCTTGGCTCGTAGGACAGCTCTGCCAGCCTTGGCTCATTCCTCGTGCGCTAGCTCGCGCAGCACATGGTCTCTGTCGGCCTCTCTGTCTGGTCGGATCCTCAGCCCAGGCCTTCTGAGAAAAAGCTGGGATTCTTGGGATTCTTGTGTACTGGCTGCAGGCGGTCCAATCCACTTGTCGGGAGAGCCGAAGCTGCAATGAAGTGTCAGGTCTGCGGCTTCACATCAATTTGATGAGCCGTGTGGCACGCAGCGGAAAGACGCATGTGCTTTACTGTTTCGCACTATCAGAGATTTCTCTGATCGCCGGGCGGGATTGGAGTCGTGCCTTTGGATCCAATCCCGGAGCTTCGCATTCCGCATCACACGTCCTGGCCGGAGGACCCTGAAAGCTCGCAGAGTGCTGTGAAAAGAATGTGAACAAATGATTCGCCCTTACAAAGAAGCACACCCTTGAAGAATAACTCTTTAATCCACTCCATCCCGGCCCCATTCACACATGCTGGGCATTGTGTTTCAAGTGAGGCAAGCGCGATCTCCCAATGCGGCAATGGATCACACGTTTTGCGGCACTTCAGCTGGAGACATGCTCGGTGCTAAGGGCTAGAACAAGCGGCCTGCTGCCAGCGGCGACGCGGCCTTCAGATATGTCAAAGAGCTGCCCAAAGAGAATGTCTTGCCAGTGCATGCCGGGAGGGGCGGGCGGCGGTGCAACAGGATACACCACCTCGCTTCCACTAGGCAAATTGTTTGTGAAAACCCAAACACCAGCGATGCTGTTGGGCTCGCCGCGCTGAAACACAAAGAGGCGTTTGCTCCCATGTTGTACTTTGGCGGCCGTCCTGCCCAGCTGTCTCCGAGCCCGGATGTGGTTCATGCGTCTCAGCAGCTTGTATTGCCAAGTGTCAGTCTTCCAGCCATGCTGCCACAGCGACATGCGATAGAAGGGGTTGCCCTGCTCGTCACCCCAGGTAACCACTGGCATACCCTTGGCAAACATGAGCCAGGCCCAAGCGTTCAGAAGCAAGCTGCGGTCATCCTGGCAGCCTCCTTCTCCGGGTGAGAAAGGACCTGCTGAGGTGTGGTACAAGCCCGCAATGGGCATTTCGTCTTGATTATCCATCATATTCATGAGCAAATCAGTGTCGGCATAGAGCATGGAGCTCTGCTCTTGGGTGGCACTGGCCAAGTAGGTCAGGTCAAACTGTGCGATGGGCGAAAGGATGGCATTGGGCCACCCGCAATAACCTGGTATGGCGGAGTAGGTCAAGGGGAAGTTTGACAGGCCTGCAAGGATTCCACGACCATCCCTGGACTGGAAAGAGGCATGGTAGGACAGGTTCACAGCAGTGACCTCGCCGAAGATCGGCACTGGCCGGGCAAGATGCAGCAGCATGTCCTGCACCTCTGCCAGAAAGTCCGGGGGAATGTATGAGGCCGTGTCTAGGCGAAGGCCGTCCACGTGAAACTCTTTGACCTTAGAAAGCAACACATCTCCAGCGGTTACGCCACCTTCGGCTCGCATTTTGCAAAAGCGACGCGGCCTATTTTGCAAAAACCTTGAGGCAGAGAGAGAGAGAGAGAGAGAGAAAGAGAGAGCACGAACGAACGAAAGAGAGAAGAGAGAGGGACGGACGGTGGCAGGGAGGGAGGCAAAAAAAAGACAGGGGAAGAGAGAGCGAGAGGTAGCTGACGACTCGAGCTTTGCTCAATGAAAGAAGCTGCATGCCGAATGTGAAATACGAGATGTGCAAGCCATTGTCAAGACCAATACGCTCGAGACTCGCAGCCCACTTTGGAGGACTGCGAATGTGTCATTGTTTTGACGGCCTTTATCCAAAAAACACCGCAAGAGGACGCGCGCCATTTGGATGCCGTAGGTTTTGACACACATCCAGTCTGAACCGCTGGCTTTGCCCTCCCTAATTGCAGCATTACCCTCACTAATTGCATAGCTTGACCATGACCTCCAAAGCCTGCAAGAAGCCAAACCGCAGTTTGCGCAGTTTGCGTCAAGAGAGTCTCTTTACATTCTACCAGCTGCGCCTACGGGCTGTCCCGGCCCGACGTGCTGAGCGCCGGGCCATGTGCAGGACCCACTCCTTCAAGAAGTGGCGCACGAAGGGCACGGAGTGATTCAGGTCCGGAAGGTCGTAGAACCAGCCGTTGAGCACCACCGTCTCATTGTAGCCTGGACAAATGTAGTCTCCAGTGCCACAATACTTGAGGTATGCTGGCCCATGTGCTCGATCTTGGAGGTAGTTTTCAAATGAATAGTTGTTTGTCAGATAGTTGTTGCAGTAGGTTCCGTTGTTGGTACCATCTGGTATCCCGTCTTCGGTGTAATCCAACCAACACGCTGCCCCGGGGCCCAACGCCTGCACCGGATAAGGCCAGTTTGCAGCTTTCGTGGCATAATCGTCGAACGTCATGCCGCTGATATTCAGCAAATTGAAGAAGCCCGGATCGTTAAAAGGCTTAATCCGACTCAGCTCTTTCAAAGAGTGAACCGGACCGACATGATTCAGCACGACATCTAATATGAAGCACATGCCTCGCCGATGCGTTTCGCTCACTAGCTCCTTCAAGTCCTCCTTGCTGCCGAAACTCGGGTCAATCTCATAGAAGTCTTGGGCCCAATACCCATGGTAGCCATAGCCACTCTCGCCCTGGTCTGGACCATAGACATTGCGCACCACCGGAGTGACCCAAATACAGTCCCAACCCATTCCATCTATGTAGTCCAAATGTGCAGTGATACCTTTCAGAGTACCGTTGCACCAATTGTCACCTTCGCAGGGCTGGTCATTGTCCCGAGAGAAGCGATCCGTCATGATGAGGTACACAGATCTCCCCGCCAAATCATGCTCGTGCGCTGTCCTCTCCAGCAAAAGGCCTGGCCGTTGAAGAAGCAAAATATCATTTTCCGCTTTGCCGAGAACCAGCGAAGTGATCCAAACAAGGTGTGCCAGCGCCATTGCTTGATGCGTACTTTGAGTTTCTTTCTGAAGCTTGACTTAGCTACTTGTCCAGCACGTACATAGCTCTGGAAGTGCTCCCTCGGGTGCCCTAAAGCGTGTCTACGAACAAAAAACACACACCTTGCCGTTGTGTTCTTGGAGCTCTCAGCATCTTCCATGGATTTGAGTGGCTGAAGCTGCGCAATGTACCCAGTCAACAGGAAGGTGTCGACGTAACCAGGTTTTGCCAAGCCCGTCATTGCTGAATTGTCAAGAGAGCAACATCTGCAACGCCAAGCAAACACGTGAGAGCATGGCGCTGCAATGCCTCTACCTCAAGCCATTGCTCTGGCCGGCAGCTGCCTGGCACAGCACTCGCCAAGCGGCCAAGCATGGCCATGCATGGCCATGCAAAGCCATGCAAAGCCATGCAAAGCCATGCAAAGCCATGCAAAGCCATGCAAAGCCATGCAAAGCCATGCATGGCCAAGCATGGCCAAGCTGATCCGCGGGGGCACTGTGGATGATGCTGGCGCTCCCAGTCCCAGTCAGCAGCTTCCAGTGTCCTGGCAACAGAGGCGCATGGCGCATGGCAACATTTGAACGTCTCAGATCGTTTCAACAGATCGTTTCAGACTCTCAGTCCTTGTGTTGCTGACTGTGCCAGCGACACGCTTCAAGAAGCCGCGGATTGAGAAGTCCTCCCTGCAAACAGGCGGTGAGGATCAAACAGTCGAGTTCGGGCCAGTCCTTCCGGGATAAGTGCCAGCTGAGTAGAACCTGCGAAGGTCCACGGCCTGCGATCTCAGGCATCGACGCGGACTGCAACTGACGCAGCTGAAGCAGCTGACACTGAGATCCGGGACCTCGGCGTCCCCACGCGCGTAGACGGAGTCAAAGGCCCGGCGCAGGGTGCGGAAGGTGGAGGCAATCGCCTGAGCTTTCTCCGCGAAGCTTTCTCAAAGCTCTCGCAGACGGGCCTCGACATCCAAGGGATCGATGGTAAAGGCGAAAGGCTCAGGCACCTGTCACAGCGACTTGCGGCCGCATTCAGCGAACGGGCATTGCAAGGCGCCTTCTCCAGGAAGGGATGCTGCGATGTCCAGTTCTGCGTGATCGGCTTGTTTCGCCTTCGCTGCCCCTTCCCCCAATCAACTCAAGAACCAAACCTTGAAGGCAGGGTGTATTTGGCTGAATGGCATGCAGCTTCAAAGCCCATTAGCCAAGACCCGCGCAACACACGAGGTTCTGGAAATCGCGGCTGTACCACCTTGGCAAAATGCCGGTTGTTTGCTAGGCGCATGTTGCGTCTTCACTTTTTTCCGCCTTCCCGGGCCCAAGTGCCAACCGTCTTCTACCATAAAATATCGCGATTCTTTGTTTGTGTCTTGTGTGCAGTGACCTCTTGGACCTTTTGGATTGCGTGGCAAAAGTCAAAGAACATCCTGAGCTTGCCTGGCCTATGCCCTACCTTACGAGTCTCCGGCGTGAGTGCCCAGGCTTAGCGCTTCGAAGCAGGAGGGGGCAATCAGTGGCTCGCCTCCAAGAGATTGCAAGGTCGGTGTGAGACAAAGAGCTTGGTGCTCAGAACACGTGGATTTGACAGAGCTTTGGGTGCCTCGCAAGTAATGCTCTGCGGAGGCCTACACCCACGTAGACTGCAGAGCCGCGCAATAGGTCATGGAACTCCTGTGGTGACCTGTGACAGGAATAAATCTACGCACTGCTCGAGCGCTCCCTTCAGTCCATCGGCGCCACGGATCAGTCTGGGTGAGTGGCAGAACACCTCGGATCTCCACGTCGGGGCAGCAGGACCTGATCAGGTCACCTGTCTTGTAGGTGTCCTGCATTGCTCAAACGGTGGGACGAAGCCACGGCAGCTGAGGACTCCTTGCTGTCAATCGTGGCGATGACTTTGCAGTGCTTGCTGTACTCGCGGAGCAGCTGGGAGTGGTAGGCAGGGAAGCCATTCTTCTCCGACAGCCACGGGTGCACCTTGCAAGAGAAAAACACAATCAATGTACCCATCAAGCACCGTCAGGTGCAACCCGCCTTGCTCCACAACACGCACTGCCACTGGCGATCCGGAAGGGGAGCCTCGTCCTCACCGCCAGACTTTGTCCGCTCGTCCGCTCTTGAATCGAGTGCCTTTCCGCCAGCCACCGCCACACCCAGGAAGGTATTGCGGGCGCTGAAGCCTGACCGAAACGTTCCGAAACGTTCCAAAACCGGGCAAACGCCAAATTGCCAAACGCGTGGATTGGGGCTTGGGCCGGGGACCAACGTGAGGAAGCGATGCAGTGGGTAGTCCTGGCTTTCAAGGTGCCAAAGTGGCACTTGCGCGTTGCGTACACGCGTACACATTGCAATGGCTCCGTGAGTGGGGGAATACGCCCGAAGAAGCTGTGCTCCACCACGGTTCCATCCGTGCCAAAGGTGTCCTGCCAACTGCTGCAACTTATGGCAAAGATATGCAAAGACACAAGCAAAGACACAAGCAAAGACACAGGCAAAGACACAAGCAAACATGTCAACGCTGTCCAGCAGCCAGGTCTTGTCGGCTGGAGGAAGATTGCCCGCGGCTTTTCCAGCGTGAACCTCGAGGCGAAGGAAGGCCTTGCCCCCTTGCCATTCAACTCAAAGCACCCCGTTGTAGTCGGTGTAGATAATGTGAGCATTCTGATAATGACCTGTCAGCGTTTCGGATTCACGACCGGCCCGGGGCCGAGGCCGCCGAGGCCGCCGAGGCCTATGTTGGGACACTTCTTGCCCTCGAAAGGCCACAGCAAGACCTGGCAGGGAGCCCCAGGGAGCCCCAGGGAGCCCCAGGGAGCCCCAGGGAGCCCTGCTGGGAGCTCTGCTTGCCAGGGCCGGCCCGCCTCAAGGCCCAGGGTGGCCAACGCAGCACACAGATCTGCCCACCTCGCGAGAGCCACGCGAGACTTCAACTTGAAGCGCTTCTCGGCTCCAAGCGCTGCGAAGGTTATTTACCAAGCTGCAAGGCACACTTTGGCCGCTCTGGGTCTCCTAGTCTCCTAGTCTCCTAGTTCTTGTCCAAATGGCCAGGACGCTTTCTTTGAGCATCCACAGCTTCCAGCCAACTGGGAATGTGCCCAGTGAGCTACACCTCAGCATAGCCCGAAATGTGCGGGGCCAGAAGGAAGTGCGGCGGAAGCCCGCGCGACTTTGGATCACCTGGATCATGAACAGCACTCTTAATTTGACGGTCTCGACTTAGGACCTGTGGCGAACTCATCATCGAACAAGCTCCAGCCTTGGACGTCCCCTTTCTTTGCGAAATTTCCATGTTTGCAATATATTGCAATGTTGTTCTCCAGACAAGGAGCGCTGTGCCGTCACCTTGTCGAAGGAACTGCGGATCAACGGCAGCGGCTGCCGGTTCAGGTGGCAACCCGCCGCGAAGGTCTGGCGAAAGTTCGGAGCAAATACGCAAGCGCCAGCAAGCACTTTCAAGCGCAGGGGGCCTGTTGCAAAGGGTCCAGGAGATTTTGCACCTGAAGCCAACATCAGGAACAAAGGCTCTTTGTGAAGACAAGAACCAGGCGCTACGCAACCAATCGTCTTGCTCTGCAGCAACATGCTCCTTGGGATAGAAAGCTTCTACGAGTGCAAAAGATCGATATTAGGACTGCAGACCTGGCTCTCACGGGAATCAATTGGCCCCGGCTCGAGTCAGCGAGGCCCTCGCTGTGAAGATATAGCGGCCTCCCGGCCGCAGCACTCTTCGCACCTCCTCCACGGCTCGCGAAGGCTCGCGCACGGAGCACAGCCTGGAGTGCGTGGCCTGCAGCCTGCAACCTGCCCTTAGACTCAAGACATACTTTGCAACGCCAAGCCACACCAGTGTTCCCACCACAGCATCAACGGAGCTGTCCGGAAACGGCAGCTCTTCCATGACCTGGGCTGACTGCGATCCTACCAACCGCCTTTCCAGTCCTCAAACGGATCCTGCTTCCCGCGATATTCTTATGTTGTGCTCTTAACACAGGCATCGTTTCATCTTTTCATCTTCTGGTCTTGCAATCTCTGCTGGGCCAGGCGGCGCCCGAGCGCACGTCCAAGGCCACGCCGGCACGGCTGGCCGCCGCCTCCGCCGGCGCCAGGAAGTTGGGGTTCGGCTCGACAGCGATGACCTGGCCATATCTGGCCATCTCGACAGCTGCGATTTTGCAAATTTGGTTTCGCAGGTTAGGGAAAGTCGATTGCGACTGGAAGCTCGGTTAACATTTTGATCAGATTTGCTGGTTTCTCCTACTTGCTGTGCCCCCTGCATTATTTCCATTCCCAACATTTCCCCACCTGCTTCACGCCCGCTTGCTTGAAGTAAGGGAAGTTCACGCCGGCACCCACACCAACCTCCACAAGCCTTGCGCAGGTCAGATGGATCTTGGATCTTGCTCTTCTGAACCAAGCCTCTCTACACCATCCAGCGCTGGCCCGAAGACTTGCACCTCTTAAGCATGCTCAGGGGACTCAGGGGTGATTAACGGCGGTTTTTGCACGTCCCACCTTGCGCTGACGAATCTTTCGCTCGTAGTCCGCCATGCCCGCCATCTCCTCCAGTCGTGTAAGCTCAGCAGCACGTCACGTCTAGCCCATCAGCCCACGCCTGTGCTAGCAGCCACTGGCTCAGGCGTGGCTGTGCTACTACACCAGCACCTCACAAGATCTCACAAACGCAGTGCCGAAGGCACTGCCATCCGGATGCACTGCCTGCCGCAGCTGCCAGTGCCAAGCCCCGCAGCAGGCCACTGCGGCACTGCGGGCCTCGATGCCACAAGACGTCTAACGAAGTGGCGCCGGAGCATGAAACAGGTCTGGCGCCAAGTGGCACGTGCAGCTTGCCACCTCGCACGGTGCAACATGCAGTGCCCTGGTGCGCAGTGCAAAGAAACCAAGCCTCACGGAATCGAGGATTCATTCCTGCATTCTGTGAGCATGTTGAGGCCAACAGTCCACACACGCGTCCTTCCCGCTCAGCTCGGCAGCACAGTCGGGACCTGCCATGTGTATGTGACCCAAATCAAACTTGCACATGGCAGTCATTCTCCGGCAGAATCGCATGGATATACATATATATATATATACAAGTATGCACCCCCCCAATGGATCTACCTTTATGCTGTTCGAAGGCTATTTTAAAAATTGAATACAATTATTGTATGTTTGGAATGCCCCGTGCGACTTGATCAGGTTCAGCTCACCCTAAGCAAGGAAATCCTTCTTCAAAATATAATCTGGAAAAACAAATCCAACTATGTGTTTTTCTTTGAACAAGAAATCCTATTTAAATTATCTGTAAACTTATAAATTATACTAGACTTATTTCCTCATTAGATTTCAGTGAATTCCAAATGGAAAATGGAGAAACCATATCCTATCCTGGAAAGGACGTTCTCTTTAACATATATTTTGAAGTAAGAACGCCAATTAACCACGTTCTTCAGAATGGAAACTCTGTTCAAATCGTCTTCAAGTCTAGAAATTATATTAGGTGTTGTTCACTTATAACTTCTATTTAAGTTTTAATTAGAAATTGAACAAATCCTCACGGACAAAGACATCCTTTTGGACATCCAATTTGACCAATTATTGAAAGCCGTCTTTTAAGAACAACCTATTCTCTGTAAAACTACCACCAAGACCGACCAAATGCTGTTTCTTTCTACGGAGGGGGGGGGGGTTCCGGGGGGGGCGGGGGTTCGGGGGCGGGGTAATAGCGTTCCTCGGTCCGCTGCACTCGCCAGGAAGTTCTTCTTCGCGGCCCAGCATGCGCATCTTGCAGTTTTGGCGCAAGTGGCTCAGTGCCGACATGCAACATAATAATCATCCTTCCAGCATGACTAATTATCCTTCAAACGGAATGAACTTTAAATCAGGGAAGGAAGTTTCATGTTCACGGTACGTATTCATTCAAGGAAACACTGTTGGTGCAATCCGTTTGCGTCTGCTGTGTGTTTTCACACAAGATGTATTCGTTTTGGAATCACCAGTGCCACCCATGGCCGGAGGATGAGGAGATGGCCCTGAGTTTGCTGCGAAAAGGCAACATGAACTGCCCAGTGGAAGCACGATCCAGGTGACCGCTGGAACGTGCAGCTTAGATGGATGGTGGAAGTCAGCCAAAGATAACATGAAAACCACCAGCCGCAAATTGACACAAGCCATGCACCGCAAATTGCGGCAAGCGCAATGGTGCAAGTAGTGCAAGAGCTTTTCATTTAGATTGACAAAGAAAAGGACAGCAAATGCAGCAAGAGCGGCCGGCTTGCCAAGATCTGCCTCTATGTAGTCAATTCCGTTATTTTAATGGACAAAAAAGACCTAAACCACCATGGAATTGACTACATTGGTCGATCTTGGTGGTGCCGTATGGCTAAAACTACAAATTCTGATAGAATTATGCCATATTGAACATCTGCAAAAAAGTCAACCCGTTTGAACATCTGGATTCAAATAAGAATTTTTATTACACATCTTGCTCGGCAAGGACTTTAAACTACAAACTCTACAAGGGCTTGTTCCTCACTGAGTTCCATTTCAATTCTAATCAGACAATTGAACAAACACAATCCTACAAGAAAGATCCCCCTTTAAAATTATCTTTCAAATCCATTCTGAGACAACATCTTGAATTCTTATTTGTTTTTAAATGCATATCGAATACTGTAAATTCCAGGCAAAAACCAATATACGCAACCACCGTGAGACTATTCAAACAAAACACATGTTTCCAATGAAATTCATCAGCATCTGCGAGAAATAAGTGCGGTTCCTATAAACGTGAGCAAATCAACCCCAAACCCCACACCCTAAATCTGTCTATTCTAAGCTGAGGTTTGGTCAGAAGATTCAAAACAGCAGCAATGTTGGAGCCAATGGCCAAAAAGCGAAAACGTTAAAAACAAAGAAAAAAAGAAAGAAGTAAAAAATAGGAAAAAAGAAGTAGAAATATGGAGCCAATAGCCCAAAAGTAAAAGCGTCAAGTTCTGGAGCCAGTGGCCCACAAGTAAAGTAAATCTCTGGAGCCAAAGACCCAAAAGTAAAAAGTACAGAAGATAAAGAAACAATCTAGAGCCAATGACGGTAAAAAAGGAAAAAACAAGAAACAAGTAAAAAATAGGAAGAAAAGGGGGAAAGCCCATGGTCCTGAAGTAAAATTCTTTGACCATGGACTGACATATTTTACTTTGTTCCTTTTGTACTTGTTTACTCTTTCACTTTTGGGTCATTGGTTTTTGAATTTTGCTTTTATACTTCTTTACTTTTTGGTCATTCGCTGCATAAGTTTACTTCTTTAGGTTTTCACTTTGGCCCTCCAACATAGCTGTTGTGTTGCATCTTCTGAGCAAACCTCAGCTTAGAAATAGGACAGAGGTCGATCCAAACCGATTGGTTTCAAGATTCCCTGGAACAGTTTAGCCTAAAGCTTTCGCCCCTTTCCTGAAAGGTCCAAAAAAGGCAGAAAAAGCACTGCACATTACCAGTGAATTCTGAAGGAAGGTAGATCCATGGGGGTACCACACATACATATATATATATGCACTTCCCTTCCATGGACCCTGGTTTCCTTTTGGGGATGGTAAATCTAGAATATCGAGACTTAAATTCTCGAAATGTCCAATTGTGGGTCCCCAAAGCCTGATAATCTGGAGCCCGGAGTCCTCCGAACTGTCCCAATATGATACCCTTTCCAAAAAGGATTTTACTTTAACTAGAATCGGAATTTTGAATATAATTTAGTTAGGACAACGTTTTCAAAAATGTGTTTATGTTCAATATTACAGCTTAAGTAAGCAAATCCTTTCCAAATAGTGGCTACATGAAAATGCAAATATAGTTTCGGGTAAACTCCAACTAATCTTTGGCAAACGACGTTAGATTGGAGTTTATTCCCCAAA